CTTCCCTTCCCTCCTTCCCCTCTCCATTCAATCCCCGCAGCCGTGCAGCGCGGCCGCATCCCGCACTCCCTGCCCGGCGCCGTGGCCGCCTCCTCCGGCAGCCCCCCGGGCTCGGCGCTGGCGGCGGCGGCGGCGGGCGGAGACCTTTTCCCCGGACAGCCGGTGTCGGAGCTGATCGCGCAGCTGCTGCGCGCCGAGCCCTACCCCGCGGCGGCCGGGCGCTTCGGCGCGGGCGCGGCGGGCGCGTTCGGCGCCGGGGGCGGCGCGGCGGGCGCCGTGCTGGGCATCGACAACGTGTGCGAGCTGGCGGCGCGGCTGCTCTTCAGCACCGTGGAGTGGGCGCGCCACGCGCCCTTCTTCCCCGAGCTGCCCGTGGCCGACCAGGTGGCGCTGCTGCGCCTCAGCTGGAGCGAGCTCTTCGTGCTGAACGCGGCGCAGGCTGCGCTGCCCCTGCACACGGCGCCGCTGCTGGCCGCCGCCGGTCTGCACGCCGCGCCCATGGCCGCCGAGCGCGCCGTGGCCTTCATGGACCAGGTGCGCGCCTTCCAGGAGCAGGTGGACAAGCTGGGCCGCCTGCAGGTCGACTCGGCCGAGTACGGCTGCCTCAAGGCCATCGCGCTCTTCACGCCCGGTGAGACGCGCTCCGATGCGCTCCGGCTCGAGCAGGCGGTCTCCGAGGCCGCGGGAGGGTGGGGGGCGACCCGGACCCTGACCCCGGCCCCCATAGCCCTCCACTCCCTGACCCTCGGGCTGCCGGACCTGGCGCCCTGCACATGCCTGAGCTTTGATGGGGGACAGTGGAGGAGGTGATGCAGGCAGGGTGGCCCCCTGATGCCCCCACCCCCCTGATCCCAGGTCTCCCTAAGAACCCAGAGCTGGGCCTGGACCCGTGACTCAAGTCCCCACAGCCTCTCTCCCTGATTCCCAGGCTCCCTGAGACTCCCACCTTCCACCCCCTCATCAAGGTGCTTTTCGTGCTGAGGGCAGAATGAGAGGTGGGGGGGATGCGGGAGGCAGGTCCCCGACATCTGGTTCTGGCCCGAAGTCCCTGATCTTTGTCCTCCCCAACTCCTGACCCTCTTCTGCCCCAACTCCTGACCTTCCCTCTTACTGCGCAGCTGTGGAGGGCTGCCTGGCAGGGATACCCTGACAACTGGTTCTGGCCTCCCCTGAGCTTTCCACTCCTCGATTCCTGGGCCCCCAGACTTCTGACCCAGGGCTCCCAAACTGCCCCCGAGGCGGCCTCCCGGCAGGCAGCCGGGTCGCCTGGGAGTGCCTTGGGATTAGGCAGGGGCTGGTTTTGGAGTCCCTCCCACTGTGGGCAGGGCTAGGGCGGGGCTGTTCCAATACCTTCCTAGTCATTAGTTAACTGGCTTAGTAAAGTCCTACCTTAGTCCAAAGACTGGTGGCATAGCTGGCTCTGCTCTCTGGAAGGTTCCGGATCCCACTAGGTGTCTTCATGGGGTCAGGAATGCAAGAACCAGACCCAGACCATTCTGAGAGGTGGCTTTCATTTGATAAATATGGCTTTGCCCCTCTTTCCGCCAGAATATTCTTTTTCTGCCTCATCCTTCACGGGGCTCCAATTTAGATGCTGTCACATTCACTGACACCCTAGGCCCCCCTGTCCGAATATTCTCTCAGGGCTTTGCCTTCTTTCCCAACTCCCCTCCCCAGCTTCTCTTCCCCCTGAGCCCGATTAGAACTTGTCACCCTGCCAAAGGCCTGTCTGAGCTTCTCTATCCTTTCTTGACACATCACTGGCCACCCTCCTGTGTTATTGTCCCCAGTGGAGGCCACCTAAGTCTCTCTTGAGGACTGACACTGCCTGAGATATCCTATTTGTGCCTCAGGCCTCCGTTTCCCACCTCCTGAGTGCCCCCCTCCCTCCACACCCTGAGAGCCCTGAGTGGTACCCCCCAGTCACCCCCTGGAGCCTTGTGTTTCCCTGCCACTTCCCACCCATCTGACCTTGCCCGTGTCTCCCCAGATGCCTGCGGCCTCTCGGACCCAGCACACGTGGAAAGCCTGCAGGAGAAGGCGCAGGTGGCCCTCACCGAGTACGTGCGGGCCCAGTACCCGTCCCAGCCGCAGCGCTTTGGGCGTCTGCTGCTGCGGCTCCCCGCCCTGCGTGCTGTCCCCGCCTCCCTCATCTCCCAGTTGTTTTTCATGCGCCTGGTGGGCAAGACGCCCATCGAGACGCTGATCCGAGACATGCTGCTGTCAGGAAGTACCTTCAACTGGCCTTATGGCTCAGGCCAGTGACTTCACGGGGCCCGGTGCGCCGTGGCTGGGTCTGCAGACCTCAAGGGATACGGATGCTTCGGCCTCGGGCGGGGCCCCCCAGCGGAGGACCCTGGCTTCTCTTCTCAGACTCCTATTTTTTAAAGACTGTGAAATGTTTGTCTTCTCTGTTTTTTAAATGATCATGAAACCAAAAAGAGAGTGCTTGTCCAGGCGCCAGCCCCGGCCTCCTCAGAACTCCTGGCCAAAATAAGAAGGGGAGGGACTGAGGGCTCCCCTCCTGGGACAGCCTGTAGCTCAGCGCCCCAAGCACGAACTTTTGGGACGGTGGGGGTTGGCTTCCCTGGTGTGATGGACAAAGGCCTGGTGGCTGGACTAGCTGGGCGGCCGCAGCCGGGCAGGGGTAGTATCTATCAGGCAGACCCTCTGGACACGTAATCCACGTTGGACACTACATGATGAATGAATCAAGGCCAATAATAAAGCTATTTCCTAACTGCACGGCCTCCATCATCTATCTTCCCGAGGGGAGGGGAGAATGGAGGGCGGCCTACCATGGCCACCTGCTCCCAGCCTCCTGGAACACCCACAGCCTAACGACAGCCCTACTTGATGTTTGTTTGTTTGTTTGTTTTGTACGGTTTTGTGGGAAACAAGCCAGGGGCGGGGAAGGGACCCCCGTGGTCAGCTAGTGAGTCCGTAGGAGCTGAGTACTAAATACTACAGATGGCTCGGGTTCAGATTCAGGCCCTGGCCTATGAAGGTAAGCCTCATAGATTCACACAGGCCCTGGACCAAACACCTTACTGTTAACCTTTGGTCAGCCTTTAATCATGGTGTCTGAGCCCTGGTGTCCTCTGGAGAAATATTCGGGGTGGTTCTGCCACCTGATCTCAGCCTAGACAGTGCCCACAGCAGTTGGTTCAGGGAGGGCACGGGGCCCAGAACCGGCCACTGAGACTTGATGGCGGGATTTGGAAGCTGTAACTGAAAGCAGAGCCAAAAGAGGAAGACCAACTTCCCAGGATGCCTTTGAAGCCCCTGGATCAAGCCATTCCTGAAACCTTTCGGTGCATCCGTTCCACGATCTGAGATTTACTCTTTGGGGCCTGAGTCAGTCTGAGTTTGGTTTCTTCTCACATGTAACTAAAAAACTTTCAGAGATTGGCATTTGGAAGGTGGGACAGCTAAGGACAAACTGAAACGTGGACTTAGGTCGATGTGGGGAGAGGCAAGGCACCATGGACCTTGCCATCCTGGTCTCAGAAGTTTGTGGCCCGGCCCTGGTGGCAAAGGCGCCTGTGGGGTTGACTGCCGGGACTGCGGCTCTAGGGGTGGGTAGTTAGGGCCTAGATGGCAGAGGCAGGAGGGTGGCACTCTTGGCCCTGCTGAGGTCTTGTCGGGAAGACAAAGATGCCCCTGTGAAAACGGGGAAGAACTCTGGTCTTGCCCCACAGGCTGGGCCTGTGCTCAGCCCTTAAACCTCCTCCAAAAGGCTCCCCATTAGCACCCAGCCTCCTTCACGTCCATATTGTTGGAGGCCTGGGAAGTTGAATCCGTCTCCTGTGGAATAAAGGAGGGTCTCGTGGGTATGCTCTGCCCTCCGACGGGACTAAAGTAGGTACGGGATGGAGAGGATACTGGGCTCCCATCAGAGGGTGGGCTGTTTCGGCCCCGAGTCAGCATCTCCCATGATGTCCTGCAGGTGAGCGAATGTCACTCCCGTTGGGCTGGACAGCGATGCTCTGTTAGATTCACAGGACATCTGAGAACTGAGCAGGACCATTCTGTCCGTCCTGCTCTCCAGTCCCTGGGCCAGAGACCTGGATGTCTGTCTCGGCCTGACTGCAGAACTCCTACTCCTCCTACAAAACCCCACCCATATGGCCCTTGAAGACGACATCTTGAGGCTCTGGTTAAGACTGTCATCCAGCCTTTTGTTATTCCTCTTACCACACCGGGCCCAGGCCCATGGTCCCTGAGCGTAGAAACTCCATGACTACTGGTTCTGGGACTGAGGACTCTGCGACTGAGTGGCTGACCCTGCCTTCCCTGCCTGTAGTATGCCTCCCTGATCGTCCCCATCACCCTTGCTCCCCTGGCACGCCAGCCCCCACCCACCCTACTCAGGGCCCGGCATGGGGTGGGCACCCTGCGACTCTCTCCCAGAGCCAGGCACAAGAGCTGTACTCACACAGTGCCTGGCATCAGTCACTGCCCGGCCTACAGTGCCCCAGTAGAAGCGGAGATTTTTAAGGGCTCATGTATCCGGGGTGGCCTCAGGGACTCCAGCAGGGCTCCTGGGCTGAGTCCGCCCCCTTCAGGAGGTCCCCAGTACTGCACCACATGAATTTTGTATCACGACCATGGAGCAAGACTAGGGAAGGTCCTCTGCCAGTCCTGCCTCTGTTACTGAACCTGCCAAGACTTGTGGCTCCTGGGGCTCCCCTAGACCAGGCCTGGCTGAGCAGGTGATGCCGGATGTCAGCCCCTCAGCTTCCCACCAGAAGACCACATGCGGTTCTTGGAGGAGAGGGAGCTCTCCAGACAGACAAGGGTTCACAGCCTGCCTGGACAAGTCTCTTTTCCAGAACCTTGAGTTTTTAACTCTGGAAAATGGAGTAACGATTGTTTTGGTGACAACTGAGTGAAATCAGGAATGTTAAACGGCTGTACACAGTAGGCATTTAACAAATGTTTATTACACTGGGATGGAAACGAGGAAAGACCTGCTTCCAGGGGATGGGCTGAGATCTGGGCTCAGGGCCTGGGGTCCCAGAGGAGGTTCTGGGAAGGCTTCCCGGAAGAGGGGGCCATCAGAGCTAGGTCTCAAGGGCTGAGGCATTTGCAAAAGCTACCCCAGGAAGGGGTAGCAGCAGGAGCTAAGGCCAGGAGGTAGGAAGAGAGGCAAGGGCAGGGCGGCCCCCCCACCCCGATGTGTCCCTCTGCCTGTCTGCCGGGGCGCTCAGAAGTACACGGAACTCTTCTGGTCTCCTTGCTCGTCAAATTTCTGGATCTGTATCTTGAGGTGCTTTAGTTTGCCCTTCAGGTAGTGGCAGCGAGCCTGCTTGTCCAGGAAGCTGGGGTCCTGGGCAGGGCAAGAGCCAGGAAAGTCCTTGTAGCGGTCTGGCTTACGGCCCTCCGCTGCTCAACCCTCTGCCTTTTCCTCTCCGAGCCTCAGTTTTCTTTCCTTGAAACTGGGCACACTGAGCCTCATGGGAACGTCATGGGTGCAAAGCCCAGGCTGTGGGATTCAGGAGGCATGACTCACCGTCTGTTTCTTCTTAAATTCCCTCCAGACTCGGGCGGCAAGTTGGGCCTCCTTCTGCAAGTGGAAAGGGGAGGGGTGGGGTGGCTCACAGAATGCTGAACCCAAGGAGGGATGGGGAAACTGAGGCTCAGATGGGCACAGTGACCTGTCTAGTGAGGACTTCAAGGGCTGACTTTGGCCCCCGTGCTGTGGTGCCCACCCAGCCTACAGGAGAAAGAGGCCCAGGGACCTGGACCCAGGGGGTGTCCCAGAGGCCAGGGTCCATCACCGGGAAGGGCTGTGGGGCAGGGGTTTCTCCCGCCGCTGACCTGGCTTCGGGGCCTCGGCAGTGAGTTCAGCAAGGTCTCCAGCTGTTGGAGTTTTGCCCGGGCACAGCCCACCTCTTGCTGGAGCTCCAAGAACTCTGTGTACTGGTCCTGGAAGACTGCAACATAGCGGCTCCGTTCCCTCTCACTCCTCACTTGTGGGTACTTACTGCGGGGTTCAAGTGGGTCAGAGTATGAGTGTGAAGAACCCGTCCTGCTCCCCCAATCCGTTTAATTTGTTTTCCTTTGCCCATGTTGGGCTCCCTGCCCCCCACACCCCTTTTCTTTTCTCTTCTTACTATCTGGTAAACTTTTATCCACTTGTCAAAGCCCCAGCCTCAGTGCACCTTCCCTGTTCCCCGGCATCAGGAACAACGTGGGGGACACTCACAGCTCATAGTCGGGCACTGGGTGGGGCCTTGGCCTACGCCCCCCAGGGATGGCTTCAATAGGCTTCTTGGTGCCCAAGAGGGCCCGGGAGGGCAGCTCATCCTCAAACACAATCTTCTTGGGTCTGGCCCTGTGGGCTCCTGGTTGAGGCTCGCACAGAGCGCGGGGAGGGCTGGCTTCCTGGACTGGAGGCACCAGTCGCTGCAGGTGCCGCAGGAATCATGGTTTGGAGTTAACCAGGGTATGGGGAAGCCGGAATCCCTCAAACGGCGGGGAAGGAATCTTTTGCCTAGGTTCGGCCTGGGAGCCCTCCTCCCGTCCAGACTCACCGGGGGCCCAGGGCCAGGCGGGCGGGTCTGCAGATCCCCCCGATAGCCGCGGGTCTTGGGGCTCTCCCGGGTAGGCATCCGCCTCGGGGAGGCGCCGCTCGGGCGTCCCTGGGGCGGCAGGCGGGTCTTGCGAGGGACGCCGCGGCCCGCGCGTGGCGGGGGTGGTCGGCGAGCTGCCTGTGGACACGACAGAAGGACACGCCTGGAGGCGGGCAAGGTCGGACGACGCACCGGCAGGTGGACCGGGAGCGGCCAACTCTCCGCGGACCCGCGAGCTCGCAGGCTCCGTTGCTATTTGCATAGACGCGCTCGATTGGCTCTCAGAGCAGCCCGCCCCTGGCTGCGTAACCCGGAAAAGCACTACGCCCGTGACGTCACCGCGTACCCTGAGCCGGCCAGGCTCCAGTTAACCCCCGAGAAGCCGCAGCCTCGCCCACTACGGCGCGTGAAGCCCTCGGACACCGCCCCCGAGAAGCCCCCCCCCCCCGGGACCTCCGCTCCAGCGGCAGTCCGCAGGGACCGCTCCCGTCCGGGGTCACCTGTCCCAGCGTCCGGGTCTCCGAGCCTGGGTCCGCTCCCGGAGAGGCGCCTGAGTCCCGGTTGTGCATTAACTTCTAAGGCTGGACACAACCGGAGGGGTCGCTTCACAGGGCGGGGCGGGTCCTAGCGGGATTGGGCGGGGTGGGGGCGGGGCCCGGCGATGAGGGAAGAGGATCCTCCTTTGAATCGCAGGTTCGAGTCCAACCGAGCCGGCGACTCACCTCCGACTCTCAGTTTTTTGGCCTGAAACACCGGTGGTTTTGGCAAACTTGTACTTATCTACTTACTCAGAAATTATATTTTAAAACTATTTCTCTAATCACTAGATTATTATTCTCTGACCCGATGTAAGAGAAACACTGGTTTTCCTACAACTTTTGTAACTCCAGTGCTATTATGGTTTCCCACAAGTATGTTTTCAGAGTTTTAAATCTTGACTCATCTGGTGAGAGAAAAAGCCCAGAAACGATTTGTCTGTTTTCTTGCAAATTTGTTGTTGTTGATTTTTGGGAGCTCTTTGTTTAGCAAGGATGGTGCTCAACCAAATAGTGTGTCTTTTCCTTTTACTATTATAAGCGAGGTCTTTCAATAAGTTTACTTTTTTTTCCCATGAGGGAAACTAAGTATTCGTAAGTCCTTTTCTGTTTTACTTAATTCTCTTAACTGAAACAGCTTTTTTATTTGGGTTTTTCATGTAGACAGTCGTATCATCCGCAAATAACTCTGCCTTTTTTTCTCATTTCTTCTTTCTTGTCTAGTTGTATTGACCAGCACTTCCAGACAAATCTCTGGGGGAGTTGGGTGAACTGTGGGCCTCCCCCAATCTCCCCCTTCCTCACTTTGATGGCAGAATTGCCTGTATTTATTCATTAAATTCAATGCTGTCTTTGGCTTGAGATTTTTCAGTTAAATGAGGGGAATATCTAACTTTGCCTAATGTTTATTGAGAGATGTTGAGTAATGGACACCGTACGGTCCAAAGTGCCATTGATTCACCCCACGATTTTGTTTCCTGATGTGTTAATGTGGCTATGTTGACCCATCTCTGCAACTTAGGTGTGAGCCTTCTTAAGATCTGGTTTTTTCCCCCCAATTTTATTTTTAAGTAATCTCTATACCCAGTGTGGGACTTGAACTCACAAACCTGAGATCAAGAGTTGCGTGCTCTACTGAGCCAACCAGGTGCTCCTTAAGATCTATTTAAAAAAAAATTTTTTTTTTCTAATGTTTATTTATTTTTGAGAAGAGAGAGACAGAGCATGAGCGGGGGAGGAGAGAGGAAGAGGGAGACACAGAATCCGAAGCAGGCTCCAGGCTCCGAGCTGTCCGCACAGAGCCCGACATGGGGCTCAAACTCACGGACCGCGAGATCATGACCCGAGCTGAAGTTGGACGCTCAACCGACTGAGCCACCCTGGCGCCCCAATCATCTTCAGTTTCAAGGAAAGCCCAGCACTGACACTCCCTCCTCCAGGCCGACCTCCAGGCATAGCCCCATTTCTCCCCCACCCTCCCCTTGATCCCACAGGGCTGAAGGCACTGTTGGCCTTCGACTCTATCAGACCGGAGGCTCCTGGGGCTTCTTGGGACCTGGCCTTTTGCAGTGTGGGGTAGGTACCAGGGGGGAATCCGAGGGGGATGGTCCTCTGAGTCCCTTCCCAGACTGACCTTCCTCTCCGGCTCGTGCATCCTCTGTGGCTCTCAGGAACCTCCAAAGACCCTCCCATATTGTTGCCTAGCCCAAAGGGCACCCGTGAACACGGGTGGAGGGCAGACGGATGCGGGGGGCCAGCACAGGTCTTTATTTGAGTTTGGGCATGATGCGGATGAAGAGGACCATGCTGATGAAGATGAAGCAGACAATAACAAGCATGGCCCAGAGCAGCCAGTTGACCGACTTCTGCGTGTGTTGCTCCAGCCGCTCCGACTCCGTCTTCAGCTTCTCCAGGTTCTGGTCAGCCATCTTGAGTGAGTGCGACAGGGTCTGTGGGGCAGGTGGGGAGAGTGTCAGCGGGACTGCAGCCAAGCGTGGCCTCTCGCCACCACCCTGGGGTAAGTCCCCTCTTGGCCCTGGCTGGTACTGCGCCCTCTGCTGGGAAGTCCACTTTTGCCTTCTGTCAGACTCCTTGATCCAGCAAAGCCCTGGCCCCCATGCCCCTCTGCTGGGAAGCCTTGTCTGGCGTCCCAGGGCAGAGGCTGAAAAGGCCCCACAGTCCTCACACCTGGTTGTCCTTCTTAATGACGCTCTGGGCGGCCAGTGTGTTGGTCTTGAGGCTCCGGGCCAGGCCTAGCATCTCCTCTGCCAGCTTCTCCTGGAGGTTCTGATGTCGCTGCAGGACGAGGTCTAGTTCGGCTGCTGACTGTTTCTCATCTCCTGGCCTGGGCCCTGCCACCCCACTGCCCTCACACGTGGGCGGACAGGCGGGCGTGGGATAGGAAGAGACCAACATGTTCCCAAGGAACCCAGAGGTTATGGCTCCGGCCATGGCCCTCCTTGGGCCTCAGTTTTCCCCTTCTTTACTTTGGCTTTTAGGAAGAACATCCCCACAAGTGGCTTCTGATCGATGGTTTAGATGCTTGTGGTGGCCCTCAGGGTTTGGTGCCTCAGTGGCCCAAGGTTCATCCAGCCCCCCAACCCCCCCCCCCCCAGTGCTCCCCAAGGGCTGAAGACACTCACGTTCTCTTCCTCACATCCAGCTCGGGCTCTGTAAGTGAAAAAGGCCAAGCAGGAAGGAGGAGAGGATTGGTTTCCCGTTTTCCAACTTCCTGATCATCGCTTGTGCTGTGTCTGCTACTCATAATGTTGTTTCCTGTCTTGTCTGCTGCCCAGTGAGCTCCTGATCATGCTTCAAAGCTCTAGGTCAAATGCCCTCTCTTTTAAGAAGTTTTCCTCATCCTTATCTGGGCTCCCCCAGGCCCCAGGTCCCTCTGCTAGCCTAACCTGTGGGCTGGGTGTATCCGGCTTTATTTCCTCTGGGGCCCATCTCCTCTGTCCTGGCACCCCCATCAGGCTTAACTAGGTGATGCCCCTGGGGATGTGCTCCCTGGGCTGTGAAGACCGTGGAGGAGGCAGGTGAAAGAGGCAGCACATGTCTTGTCCCAGACAGTTAAGCCTCAAGTCCTGTTTTATTCAGGTTGACTCACCTCCAGCAGAGTCCTATGGGAAAAAGAGAGAGGTATGAAGTCACCTACCTGGTAATGCCCCCAAACTGTCCTTTCTGCTCTCGGAAACTCCCCACTCTTAGGGCCCTGGGCAAGTCCTATGACCTCTGTGCCTCAGTTTCTTCATATTGAGGGTTTACCTGACCCACGTAAAGTGTTCAAAAGGACACCTGTCATCCTATTTTACAGGTGAAAAAACTCGTCCACTTGTGGCAAGATGAGATAAACTCAGTCTGTCTGTGGCAAACTTGTCTATCTGTTGCTCTGGGCCAACTCTGGGGCTTAACGAGATAGGTGCCATTTTCGCCTTGTACCAAACTCCTAGATATCTAGCAAAGTCCTGTCTAGGCCCTTCTGTTGGGAAGCCTACTGTGGGCCCAGGGTGGAGGCTGTTGGGCCCCTTAGGGTCCCTGCACCTGCCAGGGTGGGGTTGTTCTGCTACGCACAGGCACTAATCTCCTGTCCCTGACCAAAGGGTTCCCAGGGATCAGGGAGAAAGCCCTACCGTGCCTAGAAGCTCACTCCGCATTTCGCTGGTGTACCGTGCCCGGGACTGCAGATGCACTGTCTTCGTGGCGGGTACCCGCTCCTTGGCTGTGGTTGGTACACGGCCAGGGGCCAGGAACTGGTTGGCTAGTGCTTTCTCTGAGGAGGAGGTCTGCAGAAGAGGGAAAAGGGGTCACCGGACGGGCAGGTCCTGGGCAGGTGAGCATGATGAGGGCCGAGGAAGTAGAGTACCCCTGCTCACCAGCTTCTCTGCCTGCAGCATCCCCTTCAGGAAATCTACCTTGCGGGAATATTCATTGATCACCTCGGAGGCCGGTTTGCTGGAAGGTGAGAAGAGGAAAAAGAAAACCTGCTCACTGCCTCCAGTTCTGGGAAGGGTGTCAGCAGGGGCTGGAGCCCAGGGATTCCCCAACAGGGGCTGGCCTTCAGGCCTCGACTCCCATCCCTGATTTGAAGCCCCTGTAGCCGCCGGCACTCACCTTGCCTGGGTTTTCAGGGCCTGCAGCATGTCCTCGAGAGCTCCCACGTACTGGGGAGGGAAAGTGGGGTGTAAGCCTGGTTCCCCCCCCCCCCATCCTCCCACTAATAACGCTCAAAGGTGGGGTGGTCAGAGCCATCAAGGGGCGGGACCAGGACGGGGGCAGGACTGAAAAGGGAGGAGCCACGTCCCAGGGGGGCGGGGCCAGCTGAGCTTCAGGGAAGAGGGCGGGAGCCACAGGTGGACGTGGCGGAGCCGACCGGAAGGGGCGTGGCCAGAGCGGCTGTTGGGACTGGGGAGTCGGGCCCGGCGGCCGTCAGCCCCGTAGGCCGCCTTCTTGGGAGTCGAGTTGTACTCGGAAGTACAGGTTTCCCTCACCTTTTCCAGACGCCACTCGTCCGGGTCCCTCTTCTCCGCTGCCATCGTTTCGCAGCGGCAGAGCAGCCGCACCAGGTTCAGCTCCAGCCTCGACGCTGTCATCCCCTCTCGGCGGTACCCGGTCCCTTCCGCCGGCGCCATCTTGGAAAAGGTCGGAAGCGCCCTCGTTTTGACCTCTTCCGGTCGCGTCCGCCGCTCGCTCGCTGTTCCATCTTTGTTTGGGGCGGAAGTAACGTCTTATTTCAAGGAGGGGCGCTGTGCTGTCCATGTTTATTCAGGACTGAATCGCTTTTTTTTTTTTTTCCCCCCCTCGCAGGCGTCTTAGCTCTTCCGGGAGGGTTGAAAGGACCGGATCCTTCAGGTCCATGTGCAATATACGTCCTCTGCTTATTCTTTTCTTTCTGATCGGAATTCCTTCCCCCACACCCACTCCTGTTTGGGTTCTTCTCATACTGAGCTCTTCCGTATCCAGGCAGCCTTCCCGGTTCTTCCTGGGGTACGGCCCTGGGACTAAGGAATCCAAGGCTTAGGGGCCCATCCAGTTTGTGATTATGTTCTTCCGGGTCTGACGCTGACTCAGACTTGAGCGAGGTTTAATTTTTCTGGGCTCGGTTCCTCCTTTGGGTGGAACTTTGGGTGGTGTGACAAAGCCTGTCTCCAGGGGAACATTAGCTAGCCCTGGGGTGAGAGGTGGGGCGGGGTCGCCCCTAACCCACCAGGCCTCATGGAGGGAACCCCACCTGGGTCCCCAGCCCTCCAGCTGAAGCCCATTCTGTGAGCTCCTCCCACCCCAGGCTTGCAGACCGGGCGAGGAGGGGGGACTTTAGAGGGACTAGAGCCTGGCATGCAGCCCTCATCCATCTTCCCACTCCTCACGTCACTTGTGTCCTGGTCACACCTGTGGGCCTGGTGATCTCGAGAAATACTATGGAGGAGAGGAAACCCAGGGTAGATGAAGGAATCCAGGGGGCAGATGAGGCAGGTTCTGAATCCCAGCCCTGTCACATCCCAAATACGTGGCCTTGGACAAGCCTCTCAACTCTCCCTCATGTGCAGTCTGGACTAGGGTTCTTCACTGTCCCCCACCCCACCCCCATGGGCCCCACCTGCCAGCAGGTTCCCACAACTGCCCATCTGATTTGCAGCCTGGGAGCTGGTCTGAGGGGATGGTGGGGGTGTGTGGTTTCTAGCTCTGTTGGGCTCACCAGGAACCGATCCCTTCATAGGGCAGATGGCCCCTACAGCTGACATTTAAGCCCTACCTGGGGAGAGGCTGGGTGCTGAAACAGGGCACCAGGAGGCAGCTCCCAGGACAACAGGCTCTGCCAGCCCCTCACCCCCATTTCCAGATCAATTAACAAGCCCTTCCAGCAAGCCCACCACTCTAGCACCTGGAGTGCGTGTGAAATTCCAGCAGCAGCATTTGTGGGATAATCGAGGCAGGTCCTCCCAGAGCCGGGGGGGGCACATCCCCCTGCCCTGCACCCCTTTTGGCTGAGGTCACAGGGTGGACCCCTCCCCCGCCCCACCTGCCAACCCCTGCTCCTCCAACTCTGAACCAGTCCGAGCAGGAATTGCACGCAAACACTTTTCAGGCACTTTTTATTTCACACGGCTCGTGGGGCACCTGGGGCACCTCTCGTACCAGACCTGTGGCCGTGTGTCTGGGGAGCGACCCAGGCCTGAGAGAGAGGAAGCCCCACTCCGGAGATTCCCCAGACTGTCACTGTTGACCAGTAGGAATGTACAACCCCAGGCCTTGCCCTCCCTGCCGGTGAGTGGTCCTGAGTCGCGGCTCCTGTTCGCCACACGGAACGGGCGGCGTGCCAAGGATGGCCTCCTCCAGCCTCCTGAGTCCAGGGCGTGGTGGACAGAAGAGTGACGGCCACATTCAAGTCTCCCTGGGATGTGAGGTCTGTGGTGCTGCGGGCGGAGGCTGCCTACCACCCTGTGTCCTGACTCCAACCACCAGCCTTGATCCCCAGAGAGGCTCCAGTGCTCCCTCAAGTGCATGCCAGCCAGGTGGCCGGTTGCCAGCTGGGCCAGAGGAGGAGTCTGAGACGGACTTGGGGCAGTCAGGTGCCCCAAGGGTCCAAATCCCCTGCGCACGGTCCTGGCCCTCAGACCACGGGCCTCGAGCCGTCCTCAGTGCGAGTCTGGGCCTCCTCCGTGTGGCGGCTGTTGCGGGCTTTGCTCCAAAGACTCATGTCCAGGTTATAAGGGCGATGCAGGGCGTTAATATAAAAGTTTGTACATACACGTATAAAAAACAATTTGGTCTCTTGTTAAGGCTGTTACAGTTTGAAGTTATGTAAACCACGCACGAAGAAACAGTTACCATAAAAACAAAAAGGGAGGTGGGAGATGCCAGGCTGCCCACCGTGATTTGGTGTTCTGGGTGGGCGTGTCTGTGTGACGTGGGGGCCCAGCCAGGGCGACCGGGCCTCGGCTGGCCTCTCCCCGCCTGGACTCTGCGCTCAGAGCTGACGCCCACCTCACATTGCTTTCGGAGCTTTTCATTCGGAATCCTTCTCGGCCAGATGCTGGCTCTGCAGCTCACGCCCAGCTCCGGCACTGGGTCGTCCTCAGACACGCGGCCTCTGGCACTGTGTGGGCCCTCAGCCGTTGGCCTGGCCCGGGGTGGGGGGCAGGCAGTAGGTCGGGGGGTCCGAGTACCTCCGCTTGGCCCCGGGAGGCTGGGCGTCCTCGTCCAGGGGCTCCCGAGTGCCCCGCGCGGGCAGGTGCGTGCCGGGTGTGATATACACAGAGTGCACCTGGTCCGGGCGGCGGGCGGGCGGCTCTCGGCGCCTCACTAGGGCAGCACCCTCCTGGGCACCCGGTGCCCGGCCAGGGAGGTGGGAGGGTAGGCCGGGTGGGAGCTTGATGTTGGCTGTGGGCATGATGGGGGTCCGCCGGGGGGTCTTCACTCTGACCGTCACGAAGGACGACGGCCTTCGTCGTGGAGGGGCGGCTGCCACGGGGAGGGGGCTCAGGGCGGGCGCGCCGGGGCTGGGGAGAGCAGGCGCGGGGGGCCCTTTTGAGAGACAGACGGCAGGGTTACTGCAGCTTCAGGGCCAGTAGATGGACCCTTGCCCCAGGGCCTGCCGGTGGTGGACACGGGAAGGAGAAAAGCAGACGCCGCCTTAATACTGACCTTCTGAGGCCCCCCGCCCGGCCCGCTCTTCCAACAGGCTCTCGGTGCTGGCCGACGTTTCCGAGTCCAGGTTTTCCTCGTCGGAGCCCCGAGGGTCCAGCTCCGGCAGCCGGTAGGTGATGTCCTCCCTGGGGATGAGGGGGTCACGGTGTCTAAGGCTGTTCCCAAGGTGAAAGACCACCCCTCCAGAGTGCCAGCCGCCGGGCAGGGGGCAGAACAGGCCTTCCTGGTCCTGGATGGGAGTCCCTGCTCCCAGCACCCCCAACACCCGTCCCCAAATCACACCTGGCCCGGAGAAACTCATGGGAGGGATGTGTCAGGCTGCTGAGGGAAGGCCCTGAACTGAGCTAGTGACCTGCTTCTGCCTCAGGGCCTTTGCAGGTGTTGTTCCCTCTGCCTGGAGTACCCTACCTTGTTCCTAAGACTCGGGTGGCCAGGTGGCCCGGGTCACACCTGTTCTCCTGGCGTGTTAGTGGTGCCCTATTCACACGTCTTGGCGGGACGACAGATTGGTTGGTCACTCCAGCCAAGACCAACTTCCAGGCAAAGTTTGGGCATTACCCCTCTGCTGCCCCTTCTTTCTTTGTGGGCCACCACGGTTCCCGGTGGCCAAGTGTGGGGTTTAAACAGAGCCCCAGGCTGCGTGTTAGGACAGCAGCACCCCACAAGGTGGGTACTGGATGGCAGGAACGAGCCTAGCCCGTCAGCTTCCTAACAGCCAGGTCCGCTGTGGCAGAGGGGCCTGGGGGTGGGGGCCGGACGGCAGAGACGAGGGCAGGAAGGGGGCAGAGACACTTGCTTCTCCTCCTTGATGGACTGGATCCGCTCAATGAGAATCTCCTTCTCGCGGTCCTCGTCACCGCTGGGCACTTCCTCTTCTGGCAGCACCCCGAGGTCCTCCAGGCCGCCCGCACTGCTTCCCCGGGTCTTGGGGCTCTTGTTCTGCAACAGACAAACGGCAGGTCTGGCTGGCCCCTCTGGACGGTGGGCTCAGTGCTCACGGGAGGGAGAGGGTGGTGTGAATGGCTCTGGGAGAGATTAGTTCTGATGTGGAAGGGTGGGCTTAGTGAGGCTGCTCCGGGGATCAGGTGGGGACCGAGTGGCCAGTGCTTGGCTGATTAGTCATCCTCAGCGCAGGTGGGCAGCAGGCGACGGGCCTCCCCCAGCATGCACTTCCAGAAGGTTAGGACACGCTCAGTCTATCCTAGGAGACCACGGGCACGAGGTGAACCCAGCATGCACCACGCCCGGAGACATGCAGGGTGGGCCCGCGGAACATGTACATACCAGGACCCCCTCATAGGGAGACGAAAACCCCAGTTTGAGAGGCCATGGCTGGGAAAGAGATGAACAGAGGGTGACCACACAGGGCCACGATCACCACACGGGTGTAAGTCACGGGCACCGGAGCCACATCTGGCTGTGGGGACAAGGATGGGGTCCTCCCCCGGGAGCCCCAGACCTGCCTCCCCCTCAGCCCCCACCCCCACTGTAGGGCCACTTCTGCTGTGGGAAGTCTTCCCCGTAGGCGGGGCCGGTGGATGACCTGAACCATCACCAAGCGGGTGCCAGGTCCCCTGCTGCCCTTTGAGGGGCAGTCGGCATGAGGCTGGGGGAGGGAGGCGGTCGTTTAGCCGGTGTGGGGGACCTGGCTCCCAACCTTGCTCCCATGAGGCCCCTGGCCAGGCAGCTTGTGGCCCAGGGTGGGCAGGGAGCGCAAGGAGCGATGGCGTGAGGCCCCGCCCCACGCCCAAGCCCCGCCCACCGGCCCCGCCCACCCCTCCACTCACAGTGTTCTGTCGCAGGAGGGAGAGTCTGCGGAAGGCGATGCTCTCCGCGGCTTCCAGCTGGCTGATCTCCTCCATCTTCACCTTGTACTTCCTCATCTGTTCCTTGATCAGCATCTCCACGCACCTGCGGAGAAGGTGACTCAGTCACTGCCCCAGGACGGCCAGCGTCAGGGCCTGGCGTCTAGAGAGGCACTGGCCGGAGACTGGGGCACGGCGGCCAGGCAGAGATCCAGAGACCAGGCAGGGCCACAGACACAGCCGTGGGCTGTGTCATCTTGGTGCCAGCTCACCGTGTGACCTCGTGCGGCTCACTCCACCTCTCTGAGCCTGAGCCTCGGACTCAACCAGCCTGGTTTGAAGGAGGAAGTACAGTACGCGGATCAGAGTGAACCGATCCCTCATAGTCACCCTGCAGGGTGGGGGGGTTCTCCCACCTCCCGTGGAAGCATGAGGAACGGGGAGGCTGCGCGATTTGTCACAGGGGCCGCGGGCAAGCAACCCCAAGGGCTCCAGAAGGTGCACCGTGAGTGGTTAAGTGTGTGGGGGGGCTCAGCCTGCAGTGGTCGGTGGGGGGAGGGCGGGCAGCTCAGCCCGGAGAAAGAATCACAGCTCAGGTCTCCCGACATCTCGACCACATGAGGAAAAAAGGAGCAAAGAGTGTGGCGGAAGAGGCCGGAAGGAACTCTGTCAACACCACGCAGCTACTGGGGTAGCGTCAGGGCCACCCAAGAAACCGCCTAGGGTGACACGTTCTTATTTTTACAATTCGAAGCCTAAACAATGTCCTCTCGGTCGCTGATGTCTAACGACTTTCTTCTGAGTTCTTTTGAAGAACTTTGAAAACTTCTGAAGATCGTGCAGTGGGGAGAAGGGGAAGAAACCCCCAGGCCATCGCTTCTTTTCCTGACGGCTCTCGCTGCTGACCAGAGGCCGAGAACACGGGGCTCTGCCTTCTGCCCCTCGCCCTGCAACTGGAGACGAGGGCTTTCTCCTCCTTTTTGTGTTCTCCAGCCTCAAAAGCGTTCGGAAGCGATGCCCTAGCTGCCGGGGGAGACAGCGCGGGGGCCCTGGCGCCTGGCACTCACGTGGTGACCTTGAGGACATCCTTCATGCTGGTCAGTGGGTCTGAGTTGTCAGGGCAGCGCAGGAGGCAGGGTGCGAAGATGATAGCGAGAGCACTGGGCGACATGCGGTTCACGTCCTCGAGCAGGGCCACCCTGCGTGGTGAGCGGCAGTTAGGGGTGGCCAGGGAGCCCCGAGACTGGAGGCCAGGACCCTGGGGCTGCTGCCAGGAAAAGTGCCTCCAGACCCTGGAGGGGGAGGCTAGCACCTCGCTTCCATGGGGCAGAGGGCCTCCGCAGGAGAGCGTGGGGGGCCCCTCCCCGACCCCCGCCCCCAACCCGGCCCCGGGGCCTGGGGTGCAACCGCCGGAGAACGCTGGCCCAGGGAACACTGTGGCGGGGCTCCTGACGGGGACCCCCACCCCACGAGAGCAGGTGGCAGGCACTTGCTTGACGAGGTGGAAGATGAGCCGCTCCAATGAGTTGTGGTTGGCCTCAGGCAGGTGCTCCAGGACGGTGTAGATGGCGGCCAGCTGCTCCTGCTTTCCCGGCAGCTCTGGAAGGGCCCAGGGCGTCAGCTCCCCATAGCGCTGGCCCCCCCCCATGTTCCCGGGGCGCAGGGGAGCCCCCCCGCCACGTGGGGCCAGATGCAGGGCCACAAGAGGGGTCCTGGCCCTGCCCTAGGCTGGGGACCCGCACCGGGCCGGCTGCTTTGAGCCTTGGCTTCTCAGCTGTGCCTCCCCGATTAGCCGCAGTGAGCGCGCGTGGTTCCAACCCTGGCCGTGGCCACCTGCCCTGCCCTCGCTGCTGCCGTGGGACTCACCTACGGCTCGGAGGAAGTCGCCGTACTGGGCAAAAGTCATGAGGGGCTCAGGCAGCTCCCGAAGCCACTGCTTGAGCACGCCGGTGATGGCATGGATGGGGAAGTTCTCCAGCTTGACGGCCGAGGGGTCTGCGGGGAGGCGGGGGGCGGGGCTGGTGAGCGCAGGCAGGGGGGCTGTGCCCCAGCCCCCTCGTGCCCACTCCCCCCGGACACCCACCTGTCTGCAGTGCCTGTCGGAGCTCCCGCGTGCGGTTGGCAGCGCCCGACTTGCGGTAGAGGCCCTCGGTGTACAGGCCGTGCATCTCCACATGTTCCAGAAGCTTCTCCAGCACAACAGGCACTGAGGCCTTGTCACTGGTCAGGCTGTCCACGCACACGCCGAAGTGGCCCGGCTCGGCGCCTGGCTCGCTCTGCAGTACCAGAGGTCGCGGGGG